TATATATATATATATATATATATATATATATATATATATATATATATTCAAATTGAGATCATTTAGAGAAATTAATTCTGACTGCACTGAAGAGCTAACGGCTAATCTAAGTGGTGCCAAGACTAAAACTGCTGTTGTTTTAAAACAACTCTAGTCTCAAAAGACTCATAGCAGTTCATGTAAATGTGGTTTAACTAACCCTTGGATTAGTTGTTTTGAATTACAACAGTTTTTTTAGGCTTTTTATTATCAAATTTCTGCTCAAAGTGGTTTAGCTAACTGCACTAGAAATGCTACAGCTAATTTCTGTACTAGTCCCTCGCTACTTTGTGGTCTGACTTTCACGGACTCGCTCGTTTGCGGTTTTTCAACAGTTATCAACTTTAATATTACTTACGTGATTGGGATGTTATGGGATTAAAAAGTTTTAAAAAATACTTTGGACAGGCGCCGCCATTTTGTAGTTTTCTTTCAATAAGCCTTTACTGTAAGGCCAGTTAAAAAACAAACAAACAAAAACAACATACACTACCCATAAGCCAACAGTGCGTTTGGTCACTGCTGTCTTGTAGTTTTCTTTCAATAAGCCTATACTGTATCGCCAGTCAAAAGAACTACATTACCCAGAAGCCAACAGTGCTTCCATCCGCTGCTTTCGACTAAATGGAGGGAAAGTTTTGCAATGCAAATCTATGCTATGAAGCTCACAGAACTGGCAGGAAAGTTGCAGATAATTCTGAAGCTCAATTCTCCACATGCACATCAACCTGGACGGGGCGATGGGCTTCGTCGCTGCAGGGGGGGTCTGCAGACCTGAACCGAGCTGCTGCTCTGCAAAGCTGGTGAGTAAAATTTTGCAGTACTATACAGTACACATTTACATTTTGTCAAAATGATGTAGGTTTAAGTGTGGGGTTTATAAAGCCTTAAACTATATAGCCTATAAATATATATATATATAAATACAAAAATAAATATAGCGTTGCTACTTTGCGTTTTTTCACCTATCGCGGGGGTGTCTGGAATGCAACCCTCACAATAATTGAGGGACTACTGTACTTCTAAACAACAATGGAATTATTTGTCATTAAATGTGTAATGCAACTAAACTGTAAGGTAAAAAATGGTTCATAAAATTGTGTTTGCTTGAATCTCTATGGAACTTTTGAGATATGAGATGTTTTAAGATGGCCTCACTGCAATTGGGCATAGTCTGTCTTCAAACGATCCATTAGCTCAAGTATCTGGTTAGAATTAAACCATTATTATACAATACTATTTTTTTTGTTTTGTTTGTTGTTTAATGTGTGTGTGTGTGTGTGTGTGTATACCTACCACTTGCTTCCACTTTCAAAATAAGCTAACAAACAGGACAAACAACTCTGGACATCCAGGTGTCCAGTGAAAATCATGTCCACTGGAGAGCTCAGCTTTAGTCTCAAGGCAGCCCCTGCCTCATTGATCCATTGGACCGGTGAAAATGAAGGAATATAAAAATCCCAGACTCCCAGGATTAGCAACAGCAGCACAGGTCTCTGCCCCTGAAGCCGTTGTTTCATTAGAGGAGCTGCAGGACTTGAGATGATTCAGCATTAATTCACCGCAACTTCCAACCGTTCATTTTTTTAAACAAAACCTGAAACAGCCAACTGTCCTAAATCATTAAATGTCAGCTGAGATTAGTCGTTTAATATTTGACAGTTGCTTTTGCACAAAATGCCAATCTTTCAGATCTGAGGGAACATTTCTTTGAAAAATAAAATAAAATAAAAAACACATCTGTAAAGAATCCATAAGTTACACCAGCAATGATATTGAAATATTTATTACAGCTTATGAAATCACTGTGTCTATTGTTGCAGACCAGAGCATACAGAGCACATCCACAATTGCGGGGCCAAAAATTGACTCACCACTAAAATGGACAGAGGACTAATGAGAGGTATTACCTGAAAACTAAAATAAAACGATGAAAAATAAGAAATGGTGATTAATCTGTTATTTTTGAGATCCTTAGCACTCATAAAATAAAACAGACAACACACCAGATTTTGTTGTCACAGCTATGTGATTAAACCTTAATCAGTAATTTATTTGTTGGCAAACAACTTTCACTGTAACAACAAATTTCTGCTGTTAGGTCCTTCACCTGTAAACCTGACGCAAGAAAAGAAAAAACACCGAGTCATAAATCATAGCCAGTAATATTCAATGAATCTTCGCCACCAAATTCACGACTGTCTTTTGTTACAGTTCTGTTCATTTAACAAATAAATAAATATATTTTCTCCTCAAGAGAAAAAAAAAAAACACTTCTAGTTTTTCTCACTCCAAAGACGCTTTCTTTAATAAGAAAAACAGCTAACTTTATTTTAATATTATTATGTTTGTGTACAAGTGCCTGGTGCACAATAAGGTCCAATTTGTCCCGTTTTTGAGAAGCACAAATATTTTCTGAACGTCGATACATTTTCTTTTCCACAATTCGGTCTCCTTTGTGTTCCTGCTATCTACACAGAAAAAACTAAAGCAAAAGTGAAAAGAAAAAACCCGGAAAGTGAATATGTTTTATAGATATGCTTGTACGGTCAGTGTGTTTAGTTCCTATTGCGATCTTTTCTCTTTTTTTTTTTTTTTTGAGAAAAGTGATACAACAGGAACCAGATTGTGTAGCAAAAAATCCAAAGGCCGTCACAACAAAACAAACGTGTTCTTAATCACTACGTTAACAGAGACGAAAGGTTTGATCTGAACAAAAACAAACAAAACAAAAACCCAGAAGCATAGGTATGTGCAATGCTAGTTATCTGTACAGTTACATAGAAATATGTCATAATTCTCTCATTAGTCTTTTTTCTCCCTCTTAACAAAAGTTGTTACAGTAAATAAAATGGAGGAAAACAGCGATGCCTGCATACAATCCTTTAAGACAATTGTCCAAAATGTGTGTTTGATTCATTTTCTTTGTCGTTTTAAATTTTCTTTGCTGATTTTTTTATAGTGAAGGAACACGTCAGCAAACAAAATGTGCTGCAACTCACCAAAGAGGAAGAAAATATTTCAAAAAGTCCGTATTGATACACAAGTATAATAAAATAGTCCTTTTGTGTTTGTTTTAAATTTCACCATTCATTCTAGTTGAGTCTATAGGTCAGACTGTAGGACCAGCCGGTTCCTATCTCCCTAAAAATCTGTCTCTCTTCACAATGAGACAAAAAAAACCAACCACAAAGGGTTTTTAAAAAAAGTTGTGGGAGGGAGGCTGCGGGACACAACATCAACATCTTGGAATGTCTAACCAAATATAGTCACATTAGCCCCGTTTTATTGGAAATATTGATCCAGTTTGTGGCCGAAACCAGCCTCGGTCTTTGGGACACGTTAAAAACAAAGGCTACCACTGCCGACGAAGGATGGAGCAAGGTTACGCGGACTAGAGGAACAAAGTTGGGTCGTGAAGGGGGTGCCAGGTCAGGTCTATAGGCTGGTGACCAGGTGTGAGGGATCCTGGTGGACCTCTTCTGAAGCTAAATCCTCTCTGTTGAGGGGTGCAATGAAGCCATCGCTGCTGCCCCGCCCCATGTGGTAGTAGGAGTGCAGCTGATGAAGGTGGTTCCGTGAGCCCAGGTTGGGCATGCTCTTGTAGTAAATGTCATCCGAGCTGGCCTCCGGGCTCTTGCTGTCGCCGCCCTCCTTGGAGCTGTCGGCAGATTGCGCGGACACTTCGGGCAGACCGGGCAACATGGGCATGCTGTTGTAGAGGGAGTCTCTCTGGTGGCTGTGGCTCGGCGAAGAGCCCTCATCCTCGGTGGGCTCGTTGTTCAGTAAGGGAAAGAAACTCTCGCTGTTCTCCTGGGGGATCCTCCTTTGAGAAGACGAGGAGGTAGAGCCTGAGGAGAAGGGATGGTGGGTCAGCGGAAGTGGCGGCGGCATGGACTGGTGGAGGTGGTTGTGGAGGTTGTCCATTGCCTGCAGGGATGGTAGTGGCCTTTGTGGCAACAGTGGTGCGTTGGACTCCTCGCGTATCAGCTCGAGACCCAAACCTTCATCGTGATGCGGACCAAAGGTAGAGTGGTCATCAAGGTTCAGCGCAACATTCATCCCTATCCCCACTCCTAAGCCCATCCCGTAGCAGTTATCCTTGCCGCCGTTACTAACGTTGTTGACGAGCTTATTCATGAGGTTGCGGTTCTGCTCATTGCAGTGCTCGTGGGAGTTGTTGAGGTAAGAGGGGATGTAGTTGGAGGTGAGCTCTTTCAGGATTTTCTTTTCCAGTGTGGTCTCCTTGTGGTTGTAGCCCCGATCGATGATCTGGACACAGTCACTCATATAGTCAGCGCTGGCAATGCTGTAGCTGTTCCCATGGTTACCATTCAGTGGTAGAGTATCCATGACACTTGTATCCCGGGCATTGTTCAGGATTCCCTCTGAAATGAGAAACATGGGACTGTGGTGAGTAGGAAGCGTTGTTTGCAAAAATGTAACCAATTAAAACGACTGAGATGTCATTTCCACAGATACACAAGATTACACCAAGAACACAAGGAATTATTCCTTTCTTTAATAAAAAAGTTCTTGAGGGTTTGTAGGATAAATGTGTAATTATTTGGATTTAATTTAGAACATTTAAAGTGGGGTGTTATAGAAATACAGTATTAGGAACATTTAATATAATGTTTTTTGTAGATAGCTCTTTGATCCTTAGTTTCAGCCTTAGTTTGAAGAAAAATAGAGCTTACCTTTCAACAAACGGTTTTAAATTTAGAAACTTTGTAGCAATTTTAAAAACCTTTACACCAATGTCCATTCCACCTAAAAAGTCATTTGGAAGCACAAAGAAATTGGTAGAATTTTTTTACATTAAAGTTTTATTTATGTTTTTTCATTATGACAGCACTACTCCACTTTGGTCTTGGCTATGCTCAGACTAGCCATTTAATCCTGTATTAACCAAGTGTTTCTCCTAGATTATTTGCATTGGCAGGACGCTCAATTTTTCAACGGTCGTGGAGACGGAGACAAGTCTGTGTTGCGCACTGTTTGTGCCAACATTTTTCTAGCGGGGGTGGCAGGAATGGCTGAGCATAAGGGAAACGGAACGCTATCTCTGTAGCTTTTTAGCAATGGCGTCTGTATTGCGCGCGGCTAGCTTAGCGCTACGTCAGTGGCGGCAGTTGTCGACGGGTGGTGGTGGTGGTGGGGGAGGGTTGACAGTTCAGTTTGGTAGGCAAGACGCTCGGTTTTGTTGACAGGGCGGGGCACCCTGCTTGTATAATGGTAAGGGAAACACTAACTCTTAGTTAGGGTTAAAGTTTAGGCTAGCCGTGAGTTCGTCACTTAAGCCAGAATTTAAAAAATAATAATAATCTACAAACGGACGTTGTTTAAAGAGCTATCAATAACAGGTAAAATATTAATTGTTCATAACCTAAATAATCCAACTATAAAACATTCAAAATCGTTTTTTATTAGCCTATACTTACCTTTAATTAAAAATGAAACTCAACTTTTACCTCTAAGCTGAATACTTTATGGCGAGGGTGACACTGATTTGCGAGACACAAAAACAACTATCACGGCACAAAAGCACAAAGCTTACACAAGCAAACACAGAAAAAAAAATTAATCCATGCGATTCCCACTTCAAATGTACCCCGACCACATTGTCCCGCTGGAGCATCGTACACTTCAGCCACGTAAACACGAATAGCCGTGTCTTCCATATTAAATCAGCTCAAGCCTCTCAGAATCAACTCACACTGACAGGAAAGAGACTTTCTGTTCTCCCTGATGCACTAACTTGTAGCTTTCACATGTCATCATGTTAACCATGCTATCAACATCAAAGCAGTAAAGAAAAAAGAATAATCTGATTCAAACTACCTCCGACAAGGCCATCCAGCTTGTTAAAAGTGTCAAGCTTTCAATCTGGCCTCTTGAAAACTTGACAAGAAACATGTCTGACCTTTTTGAAAAGTGGAAAGTCTGGATCAAAGTGAACTGGAATAGTAATAATACATTTTATTTGAGGAAAAACTGACACTCTGAGAGGGTTACAAATCAATTTATATTTATGTGACTTAAAAATATTGAGGTCAACTTTAAGTGTATAATGTAGCATGACATGAAGGCTCTTGACTTGAAGTGCCATCAAATGACAAACTTATTTTTTTTAATCCCATCTATGATAAGAATAAGAAGTCAAATAAATTGTGGATGTACTTTTAACTGGCTTTGTAATGGTTTGGGGCCAAATTGGACTACGTTGTTTTTCTTATCCCTTTGTCGGCATTGAGTGAAGAGAAAGTAAAGCCAAAGTGAATTACATTTGATAAGCAATGTTTAGTTTGACTCCCATACTTGTCTCTCTGTAGGGCTCTTTATGGGACAGCATGAGGAAAAGGAAAGAAGAAAAACAACAATCAGCACAACAATGACATGTTCAAAGAGAAAAGTGCACATTTAATACGCTGATGACGCATCCAGAAAGTGTTTCCGGACTGCACCTGTTGCACCTGAAAAGAAATTTGGAGCGCCCGCAGAGAAGAACCTCGACAAATACATAAAAAGTGTTTTGTCTGCAACACGCTGCAGAATCCTTGGAGTAAAACATGGCAAAGGTCCTTGAGCGTCAAATGCATCAATAAATCTTTTGAAGCATTAGCATTTTCATTCGTCCAGATATTTCTTTTCCATCTGTGGTGATGTTAGTGAATTATAGCCCCCCCATCACAAGCTCCAGTGCAAGTGCTTGTGTTGCATACATAAATTATCCACTGATCAAAGCTCGCTGTGAGTTTTTATTTCAGTTTTACACGACTTACCCAGTTTTACAGGCTTACAATCTCTATATTGACTGCTGAGAGCTGGAATAAATAATAACAGCTCTGCAGAGTTAGGAAAGGAAGCGTTGCAGAAAATAGTGGGCAACTTGTATTGTATGGATGGTTCCTAAAATGTTGTAATGTTTGATACTCTTCAAATTATGCAAGATCCAAATCAGAGATCTCATTGCTATCAAACATTTTTGTCATGAACGTTTAGGGATTTCAATGAGCAATCTGAACGTTTTTAATCCAGTTTGGAATATTGGTACAATATACAACTTCACTAAATTTTACAACAAGAATTTGAATTCAAACCTGAGAACAATGTAGCTACTGTCAAGCACAGAAGGAGAAGTGTAATGCTGTGGGGCTGTTGCACTGCCAATGGTTCTGATGCACAAAGTGGACGGACTAATGAAGGACTAACACATTTTTTTTTAAATAAGCATTCACACTATTGTGATCCTGTATTGGGCACAATTGTGCTCTCTCCACTTATTGCTGGTAATTTAAGCTCATTTCTGCTTCTTTGGCAACTATCCAGGTGTTCCTTGTTTTTTTTTATTTCTGCTTTTTTTTTTTAAATATCTTTCGCTTTTTGTGCCCATTTCTGCTTCTTTTAGCTTAATTGGGCACAGTTGTACTCTCTCGACTTCCTTTTGGTAATTTGTTTCTTAGTTTCTTTATTTTATTTGTTTCTTTAGCTAAAATTCAGCTGTTTTTTTTTTTCTTTCAAATTTCTGCTTTTTTCAGAGAATTTCCAATTTTTTGCTAATTTCTGCTTCTTTCAGCATAATTGGGCAAACATGTTCTTTCTGATTTATTCTGCCACTTTAAGCTTGTTCTACCTTTTCAGCTAGCTTTTTAACATTTTTAATCAAATTTCAGCTGCTTTCAGATCAAATCAAGTTGTTTGTGGTGATTTCTGCCACTTTCAGCTTAATTAACTTCTTTCTGATCCTTTCAGCATTCGTGTGCTAGTGTAAACTTCTTTCTGCGTTTTCAGCTACTTTTCAGCTATTGTTTGCTAATTTCAGCTATTTTTCTGCAAAATTTTCTGCAATAAGGATTCATAGTGCAACTTTGCATGAAATTAATTTTCTCTAGTTTGCACTTCAAATCTACGATTATTTGGACACAATTGATTGTTCCATCGGGACATTGATCACAAAAACACATCAAGTGTGCCTCGTTTATACAGCTGAGGGTATAACAGGCTAACATTAAGCTTCTGGAGGGACCTTTTCAAAGCCGTAAACTCCCATTAGCCATCTTCAACTTGTCCAAAATTCTGCGGTACAACTCAACTTATAGTTCCAAACATGAGCACATCGCCCACTTTAATCTTGCTCCACTGACTTCCAGTTCTTTTTACGATTGATTTTAAGCTTTTATTGTTTGTTTTTAACGCTCCTAATGGCCTTGCCCCACTGTATTTAGATAGATCTATACTATATGTCGCAAAGTCTAAATAGAGACGTGGGGTGACCAGGTAAATTTGATTGTTGCACCCAAATTGTGGAACCAACTTCTTCAGGACTTACACTCTACCATTGCTCTGGGCTTTTGAAAATCTAATGTAATATCTAGTTGCACTCTGGCAGTTTTGTGTCATTCTTAAGGTTTTAATGTACTGTGAAGCACTTTGATCACATTTTGGTTGTTATCAAGGCCCTAAAAAATAAATGTTGATGGATTTATTAGAAGCTTCATGGCTATAAAAAAACATGAGATCAAGGTGCAACATTTAAAGGGAAATTTATGAAATAATATGGGGCTAGTGGTGAGAGCGTACACATTGTTTGAGTCTGTACATTTAATTTTAGCCTTGTGTTGATTAGAAAAATAAAACTTTGTATAATTTAAACTGTATTTTGTATAATCATTCCACCTCAAAGGAGATTTTTCAAATAAATAATAATACAATTTATTAATCATCAATGTTAATTTAGTTGATTTCTGATATATTTAGAACATAATAAAGGCCAGCCCCTGGTTCTTTTCGTGTTTTTGTTTACAACAAGATTCCTATTTGTGAAACGGAAACACAAAGACAGCAGACGTGGCACACAAGCTTCACTGACGACATTAGAGCACATTTAAAATAAATGACTGGTGATGTATCTGGCTCTCTGCGGGGCACCCCATCTCCATTTCAAAGGATTTCCTCAATTTTACAGTTTGTCTTGGCCAAACAAGAACGAGCGAATAAGACTTACGTAACCAATTGACATAGCTAAAGCAGAAGCCAAGATACACCAACAATAAATAAAAAAACAAACAAACAGCAAAACAAATCTGTATTTCTGTGATTTAACTTTCTACAAAAAATGCATTTAGAGCAGTGTTTTATTGTTGTTTTAATATATATTTACTTATTTTGGGATTAAAACCTCAAAGGAATGGTGCAAACTGTTTCGTTATTTTGTTCAAGTTACAAACCGTGCCAATTGACAGATTTTCCAAGACCCGGAACAAATAAAATGACATAACAAAACACTGCTCTGGTCGTAATGTTAAGGAATGAAAAGAAGCCAGCACACCTTGAGTGTTGTACATGCCCAGAGGGTTGTTATAAACTGCAGATTCCCCAAGCAATG